TGTGTGTGTGTGTAATCTCTGTGTGTAATCGGTGTGTGTAATCTTTGTGTGTGTGTGTGTAATCTGTGTGTGTGTGTAATCTGTGTGTAATCTCTGTGTGTGTAATATCTGTGTGTGTAATCTGTGTGTGTGTAATGTCTGTGTGTGTGTACTCTTTGTGTGTGTAATCTGTGTATGTGTGTGTAATATCTGTGTGTGTAATCTGTGTGTGTGTGTAATCTTTGTGTGTGTGTAATCTCTGTGTGTGTCAACCCCCTACCTCCTTGCGGTGCCGGACGGGCAACTCTGTCGTGGACAGTGCTGTGGGGGGAGGTCCAATTTTGATTGGCTCCTCCCCTCATGGCATATGTGTCCACCACAGGGGCTAAACGGGGGCTCTGGACGGGTGCGAGGGGCTGGTAACCCCTCCACCTTCAATTAATTACCACTAATCCACGAGTTAAACTGAAATATGTAACTAATAAGCTTGTGCCGGAGGCCCTGGGGGGCCAGGCGTCTATGACGTCTCTTGGCCAAACCCCAATTGGCGGAGCCAGGAGATTGAATATCTACCCTCGGGGCTCCTCCAGAAACAACGAAAAGCCACTACGGGTGGCCACGTGGAATGTTCGAACGCTCACTGCGGAGGAGAGGCTGCCACTCCTCTGTCGGGAGCTGGACCGGTACCGCCTGGATCTATGTGGCATTCAGGAGGTCCGGTGGACCGGCTCTGGCTCCTGCCACCATGAGGGGTGGATAGTCCTCTACTCGGGGCAGCAGACTGCCAAACAACAGGGTGTGGCACTTCTTTTGAACAAAAGAATGAAGGGGGCGTGGGAGCGCGGCGGTGAGGTGTGGGAAGCTGTAAGCCCCAGGCTACTTTGGGCTCGCCTTCCCATCAACCGGAGACGAGGAATGGTGGTCGTGGTTACTTATGCCCCCACCGAAGATGAACATCCGTGGAGGGATGCAGGCAAAGCCGATGAGTCAGATACCTTCTATGACCTCCTGTCACAGGTGCTGGCTAAAGTGGCCCCTCGGGATAGAGTCATCATGTTGGGTGACTTCAATGCCCGAGTTGGTCATGATACTGGCACCTGGTCTGGAGTGATTGGAGGGCATGGGCCAGATCAGCTCAATAACAACGGTAGGAGGCTGCTAGATTTTTGTGCAGCCCATGGGCTTGTAATTACCAACACGCTGTTCCGGCATCGGCGCATCCACACGACATCATGGATGCATGCCGGGTCCAAGCAAGAACATCTGCTGGACTACATAGTGACGGACCAGCGGATGCGAGCACATGTCCTTGACACCAGGACCTACCGTGGAGCTGATCTGCCCTCAGACCATCGACTAGTCATCTGTAAGATGCGCCTGCCATTCTTCCACTCCGGTGGTGGGTGTACACCCAGGACCCCATTCCAACCTAAAGTGGCCTGCTCTCAGTTATCTGATGAAAGTTGCAAGGGAGAATTTCATCATCGCTTGCGGCTGGGATTGGCATCGTCCCCGACTCCTCCTGATGTCGAGGGTAGATGGGCGAGGTTTAGGACTGTGACTCATGCAGCTGCAATGGCTGCTTTGGGTACGCGGTCCAGACCTCCCCAGAGACCCTGACTGACAGAGGAGGTGTTCAGGATGGTTGAGAAAAAGCGACAGGCCCACTGTCATCGGCTACAGAATCCCACGTCAGAGAATGAGGCTTACCGCAGCCTTCGCTCGGAGGTTCGGAGAGCCGTGAGGCACTGCAAGGATGGGTGGTGGTCGCGGGTTGCTGAGGAGATGGAGTCTGCCTCAGTGGCCCGTGATCACAAATCTCTATTTAACTCCATCAAAAAAGTAACCTGCAGCCCCACACCTATTGCCATCATTAGGGGAAAAAACTGTGATCCAATCTCCGACCCCCAGGAACAGGTTTGCAGATTTGCTGAGCATTTCTGTGAGGTCCTGGGGGAGGGAAAATCCCTCAGCCAGGAAAACATCGTGGCACAAAGTGAGGATGATCCTGCGGAGGCTGCGGTACCTCAAATATTGGAAGAAGTCACCCCCTGTGAGTGGCTGGCTGAGGTGCCATCTGTTGAGGAAGTATTGAAGGCGATCCGGAGTCTGAGACCAGGAAAGGCAGCGGGCAGAGATGATCTCCCAAGCGAAATGCTGAGGGAGGGTGGCGTTTGTGCACAGACTGCTCTATATGACATCATAACAACGGTCTGGACCACTGGACGGGTTCAGCAGGATTGGAAGGATGCCCTGGTGGTCCCCCTTTTTAAGAAGGGGGACCGCACAGACTGTAACAACTACAGGGGCATCTCACTCCTCAGTGTGCCGGGAAAGGTCCTGGCAAGGATTATTCAGCATCGCCTTGCCAGGCACGCTGAGGAGAGGCTTGCGGAGCCCCAATGCGGTTTCAGGAAAGGGCGGTCCTGCACAGATGCCATATTTTCTGTCCGTCTGCTACAGCAGAGGTGTAGGGAATTCCAACAAGACCTACATCTCTGCTTGATTGACCTGGTCAAGGCCTATGATACCATCAGTAGGCCTGGGCTCTGGGTTGTTCTTCGTGCTTTTGGAGTACCTGACCCTCTAATCACGATCATTAAGGACCTTCATGATGGTGAGCGGGCCCGGGTAAAACTACGTGGCCGGGAGTCAGAGCCATTCCCTGTATACCTTGGGGTGCGACAGGGATGTCCTCTGGCTCCCGCATTATTTAACATCTATTTTGACCACGTAGTTCGTGAAGCCTTCAATAGCTGTACCGGGGCAATCTCCATATGGTACAGATATAATGGGAGGCTGATCGATGCCCGGGTGCGGTCAAGGGATGGCTCCCTATTGCTCAACCACGTTAGGTATGCTGATGATTTGGTAATAGCTGCTCAGTCAGAGGAGGAGTTGGAGACGCTGCTGCTGAGACTGGAGCGTGCCACTAAGAGGTGGGGCCTTACCATCAGCCCCACCAAAACTGAACACCTGCCTGGGTATTTTGTACCATCGGACACTCCACCTCCACAACTCCCAATCGGTGATGGGGCAGTTGTGGAGAGAGTGGAGAGTTTCCCATACCTGGGCAGTGTGCTTATGACTGGCTCCAGTTTAACAGCAGAGGTCTCACTCCGAAACAGTCGAGCGGCAATATCTTTTCATCGGTTGCGTAACGCTGTGTGCAAGCTACCTGGTCTGTCGCTCCGCACTAAGCTTCAGGTCTTCTCGGCCACGGTCATTCCCTCCCTTCTCTACGCTTGCGAAACGTGGACCCCCCTAATGGAACATCTTCGCCGGTTAGAAACATTTAGGCTGGCCTGCCTACGATCCATCCTGGGTTTAACCAGACTGGATTGTGTGAGGAGCTCACAAATCTTTGAAAGATCTGGGCAAGGTCCCATCGGTGAGCTCCTCCGGCGGGCAAGGCTGCGATGGCTGGGTCATGTAGCCCGCATGCCCAGCCACCGCATGCCGAAACAGCTTTTGTTCGGCCGGATTGAGGGGGCTAGGCGGGCGCGGCACGGGCTAGAGAAGAGATGGAGTGATGTGGTACAGGAGGACGTGGAGCTGAGTGGACTTGCCGATGACTGGTACCAGCGGTGTCAAGATCGGCCTCTGTGGAGGAGGCTCGTGAAGGATGCTACTGGGCAGTTGGAGGTAGTCGCCCTCCAACAACAACGGAGGGCGGAGGAGCAACGCTCAGAACAACGAGCGGAGCGCCGGGTGGCTAAAGCACAGCAGGTTGGCACAGTAGGGGGCACAGGTGGTGCATCAGCCAGTCATCACGGTCAGTCGACCCGTGGCACCTGGGTCTGCCCCGTGACCTCCTGCCAGCGGGCGTTCGACACTTCACGTGGCCTCAGGGTGCACATAGCCTGGCACAAGCGTCGTGGTGACGTCACCGCCACTTAGTGGCGCATGGTGGTTGTTGTATAATCTCTGTGTGTGTAATCTGTGTGTGTGTAATCTGTGTGTGTGTAATCTCTGTGTGCGTAATCTGTGTGTGTGTAATATCGGTGTGTGTAATCTGTGTGTGTGTGTAATCTGTGTGTGTGTGTGTGTAATATCTGTGTGTGTAATCTGTGTGTGTGTGTGTAATCTGTGTGTGTGTGTAATCTGTGTGTGTGTAATATCTGTGTGTAATCTGTGTGTGTGTGTAATCTTTGTGTGTGTATAATCTGTGTGTGTGTAATCTGTGTGTGTGTGTAATCTGTGTGTGTGTAATCTCTGTGTGTATAATCTCTGTGTGTGTAATCTCTGTGTGTGTGTAATCTGTGTGTGTTATCTGTGTGTGTAATCTGTGTGTGTGTAATCCCTGTGTGTGTAATCTGTGTGTGTGTAATCTATGTGTGTGTGTGTGTCTGTGTGTGTGTAATCTCTGTGTGTGTAATCTGTGTGTGTGTAATCTCTGTGTGTGTAATATCTGTGTGTGTAATCTGTGTGTGTGTAATCTGTGTGTGTGTGTGTAATCTCTGTGTGTATAATCTGTGTGTGTGGCAGAGGGGATATTCGGAATCACAGCTAGTGTGCATCTACCAGTGGTCATCTCAGTCGGTCAACCCATGGCACCTGCTGGGTCTGTCCCGTGACCTCCTGCCAGCGAACCTTCGACACTTCTCGTGGTAGCCTCAAAGTGCAACTGGCCAGGCACAGGCGCTGTGGTGACATCACCGTCACTTAGTGGCGAATGGCGCGGGTATTGGTATTGTCAGTGGGGAGTGGTGGTGTAGCGCTTAGGGCACTGCCCTCCGAACTGGCCACCCGAGTTCGAATCCCACTCACGGCAAACACCGCCAGTGACGATTCTCTGAACCGGTCCTGCGCCCTGCCCTAGATCGACTCGGCCTCAAATGAGTACCTGGTGCAGTGTGTAAACATCGCCACTGGGGAGACAAAGGTGGCCGGGCCTGGTGCTGATCACCCACGCCCTCATGCGCCGTGCCAGCCTTCATAGGTGCTCGCGAACAGCACTTGCCGAATCGGTCTGTTAAGGCTACGCGGGGGGTCTTTGTCTTTGTGTGTGCGCGTGGCAGGCGCGTGCCACTGCTGGGTCTCGAGGCGATCTGGAGGGACGGCTGCGCCGTGGGGCACGTGCGGCGTGCAGACTTCGGCTTCCACATCGAGCGCAGCCTCGCGTACGGATACGTGCGGGACCCCGCGGGCATCTCCGTGAGCCCCCCCCCCCCCCACCTCACACTCCTCCTCACACTCCGATTGGCGCGGTTGGCTAAGTGCTGTTAGCGAGCACAGACATACACACTCCTCACCCCCCTCGCTGCTCCCACACTGCACACGCCTCACACTTCTCACACTCACCACACTCACCACACTCACTCACCACACTCGCCACACTCACTCACCACACTCACCACACTCCCCACACTCACTCACCACGCTCACCACACTCCCCACACTCACCACACTCACCACACTCACCACACTCCCTACACTCACCACACTCACCACACTCCCCACACTCACCACACTCACCACATTCACCACACTCACCACACTCCCCACAGTCACCACACTCACCACACTCACCACATTCACCACATTCCCCACACTTCCCCCACTCACCACACTCACCACACTCACCACACTCACCACACTCCCCACATTCACCACACTCACCACACTCCCCACAGTCACCACACTCACCACATTCACCACATTCCTCACACTTCCCCCACTCACCACACTCACCACACTCCCCACATTCACCACACTCACCACAGTCACCACACTCCCCACATTCACCACACTCCCCACTCTCACCACACTCCCCACACTCACCACACTCTCCACACTCAGCACACTCACCACACTCACCACACTCACCACACTCACCACACTCCCCACACTCACCACACTCACCACATTCACCACACTCACCACACTCACCACACTCACCACACTCACCACACTCACCACACTCACCACACTCCCCACACTCCCCACACTCACCACACTCACCACACTCATCACACTCACCACACTCACCACTCACCACACTCCCCACACTCACTCACCACACTCCCTACACTTACCACACTCCCTACACTCCCCACACTCTCCACACTCCTCACACTCACCACACTCACCACACTCACCACACTCACCACATTCACCACACTCACCACACTCACCACTCACCACACTCCCCACACTCACTCACCACACTCCCCACACTCCCCACACTCACCACACTCCCTACACTCACCACACTCACCACACTCACCACACTCACCACACTCCCCACACTCCCCACATTCACCACACTCACCACACTCCCCACAGTCACCACACTCACCACACTCACCACATTCACCACATTCCCCACACTTCCCCCACTCACCACACTCACCACACTCACCACACTCACCACACTCCCCACACTCACCACAGTCACCACACTCCCCACACTCCCCACACTCACCACATTCACCACACTCACCACACTCACCACACTCACCACACTCACCACATTCACCACACTCACCACACTCCCCACACTCACCACACTCACCACACTCACCACACTCACGACACTCACCACACTCCCCACACTCCCCACACTCCCCACATTCACCACACTCACCACACTCCCCACATTCACCACATTCACCACACTCACCACAGTCACCACACTCCCCACACTCACCACATTCACCACACTCACCACAGTCACCACACTCACCACACTCAGCACACTTAGTACACTCACCACACTCACCACACTCACCACAGTCACCACACTCACCACACTCCCCACACTCCCCACACTCACCACATTCACCACACTCACCACACTCCCCACACTCACCACATTCACCACATTCACCACGCTCACCACACTCCCCACATTCTCCACACATTCTCCACACTCACCACACTCCCCACATTCACCACACTCACCACAGTCACCACACTCACCACACTCACCACACTCAGCACACTCACCACACTCACCAAACTCACCACACTCCCTACACTGCCCAGATCCGTGTACATCGGGTCCATAATGTGTCCCTACTCAGCGCTGCTGCTGCTGTTGTTGTTGTTTGTGTTCGTCACTAAGGACACGCGTCAGATGTTCGCGTTGGAGCGTTTAGATCAGCGTAGTGGCGTGGAGTGGTGGCGCTGTGGTTAGCGCACCGCACGTCGAGCCCCGGTGATCCGTGCACAGTTCCCAGCCACGGGGAGCGTCCGTGCCGAGTGCCACGTGAACTGTGGCGGATCCACGTGAGGAGGCTGTGGGGGGGGGGGGGGCTGTTGGGACGATTGCCCCCCAACCTCCCATCCCCTGAGACCCTGAATATGATTATTTTATTGATACATGCCACAGAACATACTTTGATGTATTTTCTTATTAATGTAGGGCTCTATTTATAAAGTTTAACGTTGCTGGACTGTGCAGCCCACAACACCCCCCTCCCCCCCGCTATTGAAGTTTCTAGAACTGTGTCTGTATGGTCAAAGTTAAACAGATTTAATAATAATAACTCCTGCATAACTGACACATTGTGGGGAGGCCTTCATCCAAACACTTGCATTGACACACAGAACAAAACAAAGACAAAGATCCCTCGTATAGCCTTAACATGTTGTTGGGGCAAGTGCTGTTAGCGAACGCATATGAAGGCCGGCACGGCACATGAGGGGGTGGGTTGGCAGCACCACGCCCGGCCGCCTTTGTCTCCCCAGTGGTGATGTTTACACACTGCACCAGGTACTCATTTGAGGCTGAGTCGACCTAGGGGAGGCCCGGGACCGGGTCAGATAATCGTTGCCGGTGTTGGCCGTTAGCGGGAATCGAAGTCAGGTCGCCAGGTTCGTAGTACAGCGCGCTAACCACTAGACTCCTGCTCACAATACACACACTCAACAACAACAACAACAACCGCCATTCGCCACTAAGTGGCGGTGACGTCACCACGACGCTTGTGCCAGGCTATGTGCACCCTGAGGCCACGTGAAGTGTCGAACGCCCGCTGGCAGGAGGTCACGGGGCAGACCCAGGTGCCACGGGTCGACTGACTGAGATGACTGGCTGATGCACCACCTGTGCCCCCTACTGTGGCAACCTGCTGTGCTTTAGCCACCCGGCACTCCGCTCGTTGTTGTGAGCGTCGCTCCTCCGCCCTCCGTTGTTGTTGGAGGGCGACTGCCTCCAACTGCCCAGTAGCGTCCTTCACGAGCCTCCTCCACAGAGGCCGATCTTGACACCGCTGGTACCAACCATCGGCAAGTCCACTCAGCTCCACGTCCTCCTGTACCACATCACTCCATCTCTTCTCTAGCCCGTGCCGCGCCCGCTTAGCCCCCTCAATCCGGCCAAACAAAAGCTGTTTCGGCATGCGGTGGCTGGCCATGCGGGCTACATGACCCAGCCATCGCAGCCTTCCCCGCCGGAGGAGCTCACCGATGGGACCTTGCCCAAATCTTTCAAGGATTTGTGAGCTCCTCACACAATCCAGTCTGGTTAAACCCAGGATGGATCGTAGGCAGGCCAGCCTAAATGTTTCTAACCGGCGAAGATGTTCCATTAGGGGGGTCCACGTTTCGTAAGCGTAGAGAAGGGAAGGAATGACCGTGGCCGAGAAGACCTGAAGCTTAGTGCGGAGCGACAGACCAGGTAGCTTCCACACAGCGTTACGCAACCGATGAAAAGATATTGCCGCTCGACTGATTCGGAGTGAGACCTCTGCTGTTAAACTGGAGCCAGTCATAAGCACACTGCCCAGGTATGGGAAACTCTCCACTCTCTCCACAACTGCCCCATCACCGATTGGGAGTTGTGGGGGTGGAGTGTCCGATGGTACAAAATACCCAGGCAGGTGCTTAGTTTTGGTGGGGCTGATGGTAAGGCCCCACCTCTTAGTGGCACGCTCCAGTCTCAGCAGCTACGTCTCCAACTCCTCCTCTGAATGAGCAGCTATTACCAAATCATCAGCATACATAACATGGTTGAGCAATAGGGAGCCATCCCTTGACCGCACCGGGGCATCGATCAGCCTCCCATTATATCTGTACCATATGGAGATTCTCCCGGTACAGCTATTGAAGGCTTCACGAACTACGTGGTCAAAATAGATGTTAAATAATGTGGGAGCCAGAGGATATCCCTGTCGCACCCCAAGGTGTACAGGGAATGGCTCTGACTCCCGGCCACGTAGTTTTACCCGGGCCCGCTCACCATCATGAAGGTCCTTAATGACCGTGAGCAGAGGGTCAGGTTCTCCAAAAGCATGAAGAACAACCCAGAGCCCAGGCCTACTGATGGTATCATAGGCCTTGACCAGGTCAATCAAGCAGAGATATAGGTCTTGTTGGAATTCCCTACACTTCTGCTGTAGCAGACGGACAGAAAATATGGCATCTGTGCAGGACCGCCCTTTCCTGAAACCGCATTTGGGCTCCGCAAGCCTCTCCTCAGCGTGCCTGGCAAGGCGATGTTGAATAATCCTTGCCAGGACCTTTCCCGGCACACTTGCGGAGTTAGATGCCCCTGTAATTGTTTGTGCGGTCCCCCTTCTTAAAAAGGGGGACCACCAGGGCATCCTTCCAATCCTGCGGAACCCGTCCAGTGGTCCAGACTGTTGTTACACACACACACACACGTGTACACACACAACCCATGACATGTGCGCATGTTCCAATGTATGTTTTAGTCTTAGGGGAACATTTGCGAGGCTAATATCCATTCTGTTATTGCAGCGGGCGCCCTCGGAGAAAATTTTTTCTATGTTTAGATTTATTTATTTTCTATTATCAAGTTCCCGCGAGTTCACGCGTGAAGCGAATGACCCCGTGTGTGGAAGGCGAGACGAAACTCCGCGTGCCGCCCGTGTCTCTCGCGCGCCCTGCCGGCTGAGCCACTCTGTTCACTAATAATTCATGGACTCTCGTGGCCATCTGTGAGACAGCTTCTGCCGCGTACAGAAGTTTGGTCAATTTATGGGGCACCCTAACCTGGGAACAGTGCTAAGAACAACAATAATAAATAAATAAATAGAAAGCACAACGTTAACCCTGTTCAATCTTGATTGAAGCTTTCGTGACTGCAGGAATCCATACTCTTTAGTTATTTCGGTGAAGTCACGTGGGTAGAAATAAAATTAAATAAATCACGACGTTTCGAGTGCAACACAAGCGTCCATCATCAG